AAAACTCTTAACTACTGAGTTCGGGTAATACACAGCACAAAGTATCTAAAAGATATACTTTTTAATCTAATCTAAAACGTCTATGATTTCACCATCACATAATAACAAACAAAGCTGCAATGTTCTAGTAATTGCTGACTATTCTACTACTTTATTAGTTTCTATTTGTATAATTCAATAAAGACAAGTAAATCATGGTGTCGTCTGCATGTTAGGTAAACACTTTTTAAAGTATTATTTTATTTTTTTGTGCCAAAATCCACTGCAACGCTGTACAATGGTTAATATAAAATATTTCTATCTTAAAAAATTATTTATATAATGATTTTTATCCACCATTCTGTTGTATAACTCTTTAAACAAACTTATAAATATTTATGTGAAACATAAAACCAAACTATTTAGATTGAATCTTGAAATTGCATTTTAAAATTCTGTTTGAAGAGAACACTTGCATAGCCTTACCGAAGCTTTATCCTTTAATATATTCTTTTCCAAACAAGACTTGAACATATATAAACTGTGTTTTCCTAATGTTTTCAAACTTTTGCAACTAATGCAATAAATCTTATTATTTAACTTAAATCCGTGCCATTATGACATTTTAATATAGAAAAATGAGTTTAAAAAAAAAAAGCTAAAGAAAAAAATAAAAACAGTTGTTACAGGAATATACAATTTTTCATGTTCCCAACCACAACTTTTTCCCCTTAGCAATTCAGATTAATCCCTTTCATGCCTGAGAATGTGTTCCCAATTTTGGTTTATTTACATGTATATGCATTCCCTCATTCACAGAGCAGAACTGTACTTTATCAAATGTCTGTACTCCAGCTAATCACCTTCGGAACAGATTCATGTTTGCACTGATGGAGTGTGCTGATCCTTGCAAACTTTCTATGTTTTTCTACCCCTTTAAGGATATTCACAGCACACACAAACTCGTTAACGTTTACAGCACAAATTAAATCCTATTAGCTCTCTATTGCATTTTGTCAAAAGACGGGACACAAAACGTGTTTTCTCTCTTGTTCTCCATAACAGTTGGCACATTGAATGAGATCACAATACTAGAATAATAAATGTAATTTGAAATCATATTTGAAGTGGTGTAGGTCACACGGTATATCTTAGGACCGACAGTGTGTGCCTTCCGGAACAGTTTTTTGGAGATCAGCTGGTAGTTTAGTTTAGTTTGGCTGGACCAAAACATGTGTTTTCTGACTCCAAAGATTCACTGCTGCCCGTTCCCTGCACACCAAAATCCAATTCCATGAGATTCATAAAATTAGCAATTCTATTCCTAGTCTGATGAATAAATCATAAATATTTGAAATATAGTGCCATTACACTGTTTGTAAATATTTCAGATGGTCTTGTAATTTATTTTAAAAAGCTTTGATTCGGTTCAAACCTTTGTGAGGAGTCTTGAAGGTTTAAAAAATAAATCGGTGAATAAATGAGTATTAAAGCGGCATTGTCACTATTTCCACCCTGAATAATTAGTATTTCATAAAGATGGACTCTTTATGAAATACCAATATTGGAATTTCATGGAAATATTTTTTATTGTCTTATATTAATTCCAATAAAAGCTGTCTTAATTATAATCTCTAGTGAAGTCCTTGGAGTGCTGTCACAGAAGATTTGCGGATGTCTATTTGCAGATAAGCACAACGCAGAGAACGTCTTTATGTATATATTTAAAAAATATACATATATAGCAAGTGTATATATGCCCATGTGTGTCCTGCTGCCTTCAATAATGAAGAGGGTGCCCAGGATTCTCTAAGTTCCAAGATAACATCCAGAAGACCAATCTGCTTCACTATTACCCTCCGGCATATTCTACTAATCTGCCAACGTCTAGAGTTGGATGAATGGGGACTCGGGCTGCATATAGCTTATCGATACAGTTTTAACAACTGCATGATAACAGTGAATGCCAGCCTGACCTATATCTTTGTTTAATTTAGACCTGTTGTCGTTTAGTTTATTTTTACACACATAAGGCTCATTACGCTGTAGTATCAATATGATGCCAAAGCCCAGTGGTTTCATTTCAGCGGTGTGTACATCTCAACACTAGTGTTATTGTCATAATCATACAATAATGTTAAATAATATGCTTCAACTGCTCTCTCAGTCACACACACATCATCAACCTTGTCTCGCTTATTTTATTTTAACAAAATGTGCTCACGACATGCATGCCATGCCAATGTCTTAATATGTCTGAGTTTCTGTGCTTGACAATGCGGTCATGGCATTGTTAGCCCTGTCTGTTATATTATACACAATAAAATAAAGAATTTAAAAATGAATAAATAAAGTTTCAGAGATAATAAAATAAGCTTACAAGCATAAACAGGATTATAAAAAGATATGTTATCATTTAATATAATATTTAAAATCATTAAAAATTAATAAAATATTAAATAGGGCAGGTATAGTGATGAGGATCAATAATAATAACATTTCTTTTTTATTGTTTATATAAAGCAAAAATAAGAAATGAACAAATAAAATATTAAAATATATCATTAATAAAAATGTATGAAAATCTTTTTCTTTGAGAACAGTAGTGGATTAATGATAAAAGAAATGATGGGACAAATGTGAGTGACCATTTCTTTTAGTTTTTTTATTTTCTCTCTGTCCATACATAGAAATTTACAAACAGAGGATGCATTCTTCTTAGGTAAGATTAATTAAGTTGTGTCAATTGTACAAATAATATGAATTTACGAAAAATATTGTAAATGTTATCACAAATGATCTGTTTCATGTTTTATGAAACCCCTTAGTAACACTATTGTAGTCAATAATAAACACCTATTCACATATAGATAGTTATATTATTGAATTAGATAGAAAACATTGATTCTCAAAGACTTAAGTTTGTCCTGTGCGCTAGTGTTTGAGCATATGTGATACAAAGCACTGCATGTTAATTGATTTATTGATTGAGTGATAGGCCTAGATATATTGTTGTATAATCACTTATGTCTTGATAAAGGCACCACGAGTGCCGAAACATTGCTTAGCCGTGGTGTCTTAATATACGACCATTGACCTTTTAGATGTGAGCTGATGTCATTTTCCATTAAGCTATGATTTGGTGTATACAGCTTTACATCCATTAATTACTGAATCAGAATGTTACAAGTAGACAGCAGTGTTAATGCCACAAAGTTTTTCTGTTATAGATAATATATTGTATCAGCACTTTGATAGTTACTGGCTTTATTACCTATTACATAAAAAAATAGGAAGGGCATGCTCAGTTATTGTTTAAATGGGAGACTAATAGTCCTGATCATCATGAGCCTTTCTGAAAAAATGTTGACTTCTCATATTATGTCCAGAAATAGGGATTTCCTACAATAAAACTTTTTAGAATATCATTTACGCAGCATACTAATTTAATGCAGTGATCTGCACACATTTCCAGCACCATGTCTTCATATCTTCATGTAAATGGATATATTGAAATCCTTGTGCTCTCAACTTTCCACTTTCCTATAAGCATAAACAATTCTATAAAACAGATTTTGGCAGGAAAATGCACTTGAGACATCTGTGATTCATACATTACATACTGTATTCTTTCATCTAGTTGGCTGCAAAAACATAACTTCCTTAAAACTAGATTAAATGCTTATGTATCAAAAATACTGGACCCATAACTGTGTTCTTGCAAGGAACGGCATATCTCATTCTCCGGTGAAGACAAAGCAGCATTACCACTGTGAATGTGAAAATAATCCATCCTGATTCAATTTGTTTATATAGCTTTTCTAATAGTTGTTATTTCAGCAATGTGACTTCAGTTGCATTGGTGTTTGTGTGTGAGAACCCAAAGTGGATTAAATGTCTGGGATTCCTAGATAAAGTTATCAAACAAGTGGAGGATGAGGAGGAGATATCTCTCTCTCTCTCTCTAAAAACTTTTCAAATATTAATTTACACACATTTTTAAAATAATGCACAATCAAACAATACAATTTTCTCAAACAATACAAGTTGCATAATCAGCGCAACAATATCTAATAATATATTATATAATAAGTTACTGAATGTTTCATAATATTATATATATATGACACAATTATAAAATTAAGCATCAATACTTGTCAATTGTGGGGCCAGATTATAGGGAATATTCATGTTTAATATTATCTTCCCAGACATTCCAATGAAATTGAAACACTCTGCATTCACTATACACAGACACTGCATCTAATACACACACTACATCCACTACAAACACTGCATCCACTAAACACATTTCATCTAGTACATACACTACATCCACTACACAAACACATACTACATCACTGTACACACACTACATCCACTACTCAAACACACTCTGCGTTCACTATACACACTGCATCCACTACACAAACACACACTCTGCATTCACTGCACAAACAGTATCTAATACACACAAACACTACATCCATTACACACATTCTAATTCACTTGCACTATACACACCACATTCAATCCTGCATCACTGTCAGTGGACTAGGTAGGGCGTGGGCGGGCCCAGGAGGGAGGGAGAGGGCCCAGACCTTGTGTTTTGTCAGGGTCCCCAAAATGTCTGATGGCGGCCCTGACTTGCTGCCGGCCTAGTAGTGATGGGAGGAAGCAGGCTGAAGGGTCAGTGTTAGGACCCGCTTAGGGAGGGGGGGTCTGCCTTGATGTTGGCAGGCAGGCATTCCCTCCAATAGCCATTGGAGCAACTAAATGACCTCCATTTGTCTAAATATACATAGGGATTAAGGAGAGAGCGCAGGTAACTTTTTCTTTTCTTTGGTTTTTACTATATATTGGGGCTGATGTGTACTGTAGTCATTGCTGCCGGCTCAGTAGTGATGGGAATGAGGGCAGGACTTATCTTTTTGTATTTGTATGAACTATATACAGGTTTCCCCAAACTCCAGACATCCTCCTCAGAGGTGTCTGAATAAGAACAAGGGAAATAAAAAAAATTACAGCGTGAGAAAGTCACACTGCAATGGCTCTGTAGTGAGCCTGGTGGAGGCATGAACTGTGAGATAAGAGAGAAGGAAGTGAGAGCAAAGGTCTCATGCACAGAGTCCTACCAACAACAGCCTCTGTGATGAGTCAGCGAGTTCATTTTTTATTTTATTTTTGTTTATTAATTTTTTTTTTTTTTTTTAATTTCTTTTTATTTTTTATTTTTATTATTATTATGTTTTTTATTATGTTTTTTATATAGTGTTCTGCGGACAGCTTGCAACCTAATAATATGCGCAGGGATGTTGTCAAAGAGCTCTGAATTGGTGGCTCACTTGGCTGCCGCAACTCTCTGCCAGTCCCCTGTAATGCAGGTTGAGGCCGACTCCAGGCCCTTGACGGGAGAAGCATCTGCTTGTAGTGGAATGTTCCATTGCGATAGCAATTTGTGTCTCTCTTCAGGCGATGAGGCGACTGTCGGATCCATTCCTGTGGATGATGAGTGGGGTCAGAAATCCCAATTTTTAGCGCCTTGGTGATGGTACTGAAGGCTAACGTGGCTGGGGACAGGTCCGCAAAGACCTGTATGCCAGCATACCTGCCTGTCATCGACGCCAGGTCTCTGGCTACCTGCATCAGCCGCTCTTTAGTAGCAAAAAAGTGGACACGGACAATAGGTACCGCAGCAGGAATGTTTTGTGGCTTCATCAGCCTGTGGCCCTATCCAACTCCAAATCTTGGGCTGAAGCATCAGGCAGCAAAGTTGGAAACAACTGGTGAAAGTATTTGTGTCCAGCAGTTGTAGTTTTGTGGAGAAGCTGGTATAGGCATTAGCCAGTGTGTTATGAACATCTATAATCTCCTCCATTTTGTCTTCTAAATAAGCAATATGCTCACCTATGGCTTGTACACCCCATCTGATATCTGCAGCCAATTCCTGGAAATCAGACCTGATGGTGGTTGTGACGAAGTGCCCTTCGCCACTTGTGCCTCTTGCCCTGTGACTATGGCCCCTGGGATGTATTGCCCTTTAAAGACATGATTTGGGCATAATGGATTTGTGTTGTGCTGCTGCTGGCCCTTTAAGAACCATCTGGGGACATACTGTGGAGTTACTGGGTGGCCACCATTTCCTGTATCAGAAGCACATGGTGAGAACAATGGATGGCGGCCATTTTAACTCACAGACACTGTTTGGACTTTTCAACACGGTGCCATCTTGCCAGTATTTGGTGCACAGAGACATCGTGCAGTGGTTTTGGACTATACAGCAGGGGACACATTATAAAGTGATTGTTTTTCATTTAGCCTGTATATGTTCTGCAGAATCTGCATTAAACTGTATTTTCCAAAGTACTGAACGGATCTGGGTGAATTTTGGATATGTGGTTCACCCAGATCCCCCGGTTCCAAGGATATACTTTTTATGGGGTTATTGCATGTTTTGGGGTCCCTGTGTGTTTTATGAAACTGTATTATTTCTGGCCAGCAGATAATTGAGCTTTGTGTATTGTAGAAACTCAATTATCTAGCCTGGCCCAGAGGAGGAGTTTTGTGTTGCATAAATTGTGAGTTCTGTGTGCCAGTAAATCAGTCTTGTTCCAACATTAAGCCTTGGCTCATGTTTGGGGGATTGGAGAAATACACTCTGGGGATTGCTATAATCACTATACTCCCCAGGGTATGATCACTAAATTCTGCTAAGAGCTTGTTCCTGCTCTCTGGGGAAAGAGAGGTTCACCCACTGGAAGCTGGATCCTGGCCTTGGGTCCAGGGTGGGTAGAGACAGCAGAGACCCCAGCGCAGTTGCATCGCTGGAAGTGGGGTCTGCAGTGCTGATGGTGTCGGTTGGAGTGCTTGGAGTCCTCGGCAAGCGCTAGGAGCATCGATTGGCGGAGGTACTCAGTCGGAGTGCCAGCGTTCCGTCACATTTAAATCGATGCTCCTAGCGCTTGCCGAGGACTCCAAGCACTCCAACCGACACCATCAGCACTCCTTGGAACCGGGGGATCTGGGTGAACCACATATCCCAAATTCACCCAGATCCGTTCAGTACTTTGGAAAATACAGTTTAATGCAGATTCTTCAGAACATATACAGGCTAAATGAAAAACAATCACTTTATAATGTGTCCCCTGCTGTATAGTCCAAAACCACTGCACGATGTCTCTGTGCACCAAATACTGGCAAGATGGCACTGTGTTGAAAAGTCCAAACAGTGTCTGTGAGTTAAAATGGCCGCCATCCATTGTTCTCACCATGTGCTTCTGATACAGGAAATGGTGGCCACCCAGTAACTCCACAGTATGTCCCCAGATGGTTCTTAAAGGGCCAGCAGCAGCACAACACAAATCCATTATGCCCAAATCATGTCTTTAAAGGGCAATACATCCCAGGGGCCAAAGTCACAGGGCAAGAGGCGGGCAAGCAGTCCTCTCCAGGCACAAGTGGCGAAGGGCACTTCGTCACAGTGGTAATTAAATCATCCAGCAGCTTATGTAAGCTGCTATCCACAGCCGGCATCGCTGTGGACTTTGAGATCAAGGTCATGCCACTCCGGCCTGACTCACTTCGTTCAGACTCCGAAACAGGAGAACGTGCTTCACCAGCGCCATCTTGGGTGCGCTTGCTCGGCGGGGGTAAGGCAGAGACCTGCAGCAAGGGGGTTCTGTGCTTGGTTTTCCTACTTGCTCCCCATCTCCACGGTTACTTATGGTGAGTGGCAGAATAGTTTGCCGATTGCGTGGATTCAAGCTGTTTTTAGCTGTTGCCGGCGGAGCTCTCGTCTTATGTGTCCGTCTTCATTCAAGTCCTGACCACGCCCCCATGTCTGGGAGTTTTTTAAACAAACATCATTTTGGTATGAATGTCTCTACAGATGATTCAATATATTTTATCAAATTATGCATACCTGTCCAAACTTTTTGAAGTTTAGGACAAATTCATCATATATGTGAAAATGAGCTTACATGACCACATCCATGCCAGCATTTACTGGAAATAGTTTTAATCATTTTATGCAGTCTGGATAGAGTCAGGTACCACCTATAAACTATTTTATAGTGGTTCTTCAAAAGGTTAGAACACTGTGATATGCCCTTTAAATTAAGAATATTATGGAAAATATGCCTATGTCATGAGCTCCTGGAGGAGCCTGTTGGCTAACCTCTTGCCCAAGGTCTATGGTCCATGTAATCGACCCATAAAATACTTGATTACTTGCGGACCACTTCTGGGCTTGTTAACCCCTATTAACCTCTCCTGACACCTCTATCATCGTTTTCACACTGTGTAACCAAAGTGTTTGGCTCGGGGGCCGCCATTCATATGCATGAACACATGGGAACTGAGTTGGTGGCTATCTTGTCGCACAAACGCAGGCTTCGGTGTTTGGTCGTCGAGTGCATGGAACTAAAATCGGACAGACAAACTTGCGAACACCACTGAACTTAGACGAACACCTGCTTCTTTTATATACATGTCAGGAGAGCACTGTTTGGTGGGATTGCTCGCATGAACTAGGCAAACAATCGCTACCTATGAGCCAGAGGATCAGTTCGGTTTTTCATTTAGTTTTGGACTCCTGAAAGTGACCGACCGCTACAACTTTTCTCATGGAACTATTTTGGGCAAAAGCCACGCGTGCGGTCGATTAAAGGTTTACCTCAATGGAAAATCCAAACCACTAAACCGATCTGAGTGCTTTTTGGATATGATAGGCACTCAGATCAGGGCTATCCAGGGATCTGACTCTTGAGGGGGTTCCATGTATTTTGGGGGTACTTCTGGTGTGTTTAAAAATTGTTATACTTCTCTGTATCTGGGAGATAATTGAGTTTGTACAGTTCCTGACTCAATTACCTCTCAGGCACATTGTGTGTATAAATTGAGAGTGCTTGCCTGCATTAAACAGATGTACTCCCAGCATTCAGTCTCGACTAATGTGTGTGGGGGGGAATACTATAAACACTATACAGCTTTACTCTCTGTACGAGAGCTTTGATCACTGGAAGCTGGATCCAGGACCCTGTTCCAGGGTGGGAAGCAACGGTGAGTAGTCAGCCAAGCTGCGGCGGCTGGGGGCTGAAGTGCTGATGGTGTCCCAGTGATAGCTAGGAAGCGTGTTTGGTGGAGGTACCCAGTCGGGGTACCAGGCGGTCCGCCACATATAGTGTTAGCCATTTTTCTAAGTCATACTGTTTATTTAAATCTCTCTCCCACGCCACCATAAATCCATCTTAATGGTAGGCCTTGATGATATATATAATAACAAAGGGAAATAGAACATTTCCGACTTGGATTGCATTGATATATGGTTACCAAATTAGAGTTTTCTAATCTGAGATTCAATTCAGAGATTCCAAAACTTTCGTTATCTAATTTCTAATCTTTTTCATTGTTTTATCTAATCTACCTATGTATCATCTGTTATTTTATGTTATTCATATATCTAGTCTAATCTATTGAACATTAAAGAACACAATCTTTTGTCCTAAAGAAAAGAAAAAACTAATTTTAAATTCTATTACTTTTTTTTATAATTCCCAGATTTTACTAGTAACATGATGTAAAGTCATGATTTTATTAAAGACACGGAGGCGAGTATTATGCATAACTCTTTCTTTATTTCCTCAGCAGCAAAGATAGAGGAATATAAATATTATCAAAAATGAAAGAAAAAACTGTATAGGCACAACAGGCAGCCAATCACAGAATATAGGAAGTAGCTATATAAGTCCTGTGTCTCCCACAATCCCCCTCTTTCTTTCGAAACCGAAGACCAGGTAAGATGAACGGTGTCCCACTTGATCAAAACAGGATAACGGGAACAAAGCGATAACTTCAAGCTAAAAAAGACAGAGAAATATGGTAATTTCTTAACTCAAAACTGCAGACTTACCAAACATAACCGTGGGGAGTCACAGGCAAAAACTGAATTCTGAAATATAAAATATATAATAATTATTAATCAGCACAAAACGTACAAAACCATACAAAAATGATATAAATACAGACCTAGTTGAAACATACCTGTAGAGCCACAAAGCATCTCCTATCCCAAATCCACACCGGGAGGGTGGGAGGGAATAATACTCGCCTCCGTGTCTTTAATAAAATCATGACTTTACGTCATGTTACTAGTAAAATCTGGAAATGTTATTAAAGACACGGAGGCTCATATTATGCAAGTTCAAAGCTGTGCTACCACTCGAGATGCGATGTGTTCAATTGGTCTGAAGTAGAAGTCTCGAAAGGTCGATTCTCAAGACCAATCCGCCGTTCTCATAATGTCCTCCAGACGACATCCGACTGAAGATGCTTTCGAGGCCATCGCGCCTCACACAGAATGAGGCGTAAATACAGAGGTGTCTACACCCGCAGAGGATAACAGCCAACGCACCCAACGTGCCAGAGTAGGAGTCGAAACTGGCCGGTGAGGTGATTTAAAAGATATGAACAGATCATGCAGATCTGCTGAGCGAAGGGAATGTGTAACATCCAGGTAAGCTTTGATGCAATCCACCGGGCAGAGCGCCGCACAACCTGAAAACCTAGGGTATGTAAATGACTTGGATGCAGACTTAGTCCTCCTGGATATGTCAAAAGTAACGCCTTCTGGGGTGAATGCAACGGCGTCCCAATCCAGGGCCCTAACATCGGAGACCCTCTTGCAAGAAATCAAACAGAGTAACATCACCAACTTGGAT